TTGATGTATTGAAGGACTAAATCGAGTCGGTTGAGTTTCCAGTTTCCATAGGGCCAGTGGTGTTGTGTTTTGTTGTCTGGTCATTCACGCTCTGTCATCTTTTTTTTTTTTGCCATTATACCATTCCTTAGCCACTTTTGTGCCTCAGAGTGACAATGTGTTGTCACTGATGCAAAACATCTCTCTCTTTGTTGCTTAAGTTTATGCTCTAGCTCTTTTCTTTTAAAGATTTTATTTATTTATTTTTTAGAGAGGGAATGGAGGGAGAAAGAGAGAGAGAGAAACATCAATGTGCGGTTGCTGGGGGTCATGGCCTGCAACCCAGGCATGTACCCTGACTGGGAATCGAACTTGCGACACTTTGGTTCCCAGCCCACACTCAATCCACTGAGCTACGCCAGCCAGGGTGCTCTAGCTCTTTTTAAAAAAAAAAAATCCTTAAAGGTATCTGTAAGGCTAAAGAACAGCTAATCTCTTTATACATAGCTTGGTAAACTAGTTAACTTCTTACCTGAGTCTTCCAAGAAAGTGCCCAGGATGAAAAACTATCAAGTTAGGTGGCAATTCAGTGAGAAAAATGGTAAGAATTTTGCAAAGTGGGAGATGTTATAGCAATGAGTTGACTGGAGAATGAGTTAAATCTTCACTTAGGATAAAGTGGTAATGATGTGATTAGGGTTTCTGAAGCCGTTTATTAGAAAGGCAGGACCTGAAGACCTTTAGAACATATAAATAAAAGTAGTTAATTTGGTCCTATAGAAATTAGGAGAAACCAAAGGGCCTCTGAGGCTGGGTGAGAGACAGAAAGATTGCCTGGATAGGATGTGAGTACTTTCTACCAAGAAGATGTGAAGCAGAAAGTGCCAGGTCAATGACCGGTGCACTGAGGCAAGGCCAGGTAGGGGGCAGCAGGAAGAGGTGATTCCAGGACCTCTGAAGGCTTATCCTTGGTGACTGCTAGAACCACAGGTTGGTGCCTGACCTACCCTTACAGTTGGATCTGAATCCAAACATAGACCCCTCCCACTCTGTTTCTTTCTATTACAGATTGTTAGGCCGAGTTAGTCTGCACTTTGAGGGCACAGTTCTCTAGCTGGAGACAGCTGTGCCCAATTAGCTTGGCCTAATGGGTACTCCAGACAACCTGAACACATTTCAAAAGATGCCACAGGGCTTTGCAACCAATGAGAACATCTCACCTGCCTTTCAGCTTGATCTGGGTGAGAGTCATCTCCATGATGTCCCGTTTGAGAGTCTTCCTGGAGAAGGGCGGGGCTAAGGTGATGACTAACGATGTTAGATACTTGAATTTCCAAGTTGGATAAACAAGCAGCTCTATGGAAAGGAATTACGGCCTGTGGTAACTTCTCCCATTTCCTTTTGGATGCCTTCTGGTTTTATGCCCCATGTCTGCAGTGGAGTTTTAGTTTTTCCAGGGTCCTCTCCAAGAGAAAGTGTAGATGAAAGGCATTTTGCTGACAGCAAACATCTCTGTTAGATCCAAGGAATCTGGACTTTTCTATTACATCTTTCACCAATACTTTGAAAAATGGTATCCCCTTATTCCATTTATATTGTGCAATTATCACTTTATTGCTTCAGTTGTTGATTAATTTATTTGATATCAATATTTATTGAGAGCCTATTGTGGATGAGGCACTATGCTATAAACCCTGGGAGTTCCAAAGATGAGTAAGGCACAAGGAACTTGGCAGACAGCCACCCAGAGTCTACACTTAAAGGAGTAGGGTGGTAAGTTGCAGAAAGTGAAGAAAAACCTGCCATTGAGTTCAGAACGGGGATAAATTATTTTGAGTGTGTGGTAATTAGGACCGGCTGGTACAAGAGGAATTTATGCAAAAGGTCACCTTAAGTTGCAGTGATCTCTTCACATCCGTTAGGATGGCTACTATTAAAAAATAAAACAGAAAATAAAGGATGCAGAGAAATTGGAGCTTTTGGAAATGTGGAAGTAAAATAGTGTAGCCATTATGGAAAACAATATGGGACTTTCTCACAAAATTAAAAATAGAATTTATCCTATAATCTAGCAATTCCACGTTGGGGTATATATCCAGAGAATTGAAAGCTGGGTCTCACATCTTTAATTCATTTTATCTCATTCTAGTTTTTTTTTAATTTCACAGGAATCTTTACTCCATCTATCCATTCAACATCTTTCTACTTCTCTCACTTTCTTTTTTCCTCCCCGAACACTTTATTCATTCACAGTATTAATCACAATAGCTAAAGATGGAAGCATCTCAAGTCTATAGCAGAATAAATGGACAAACAAAATGTAATATCTGCATATATTGGACTAATATTCTGCCTCAAAATGAAAGGAATTCTGACACGTTTTACAGCATGGGTGAACCTTGGGGACATTATGTTAAGTGAAATAAGCCAGTCACAAGAAGACAGATACCATGCAATTCCACTTACATGAGTAGCTATCTAGAGCAGTCAGATGCATAGGGACAGAAAGTACAATGGTGGTCACAACAGGCCTTGGGGAGAGGAAATGAGGAAGATGAGGAGCTGTTCAATGGGTACAGCATTTCAGTTTTGTGAGATGGAAAATTTCTGGAGATTGGTTGTGCTCCAATGTGAGTACACTTAATATTACTGAACTAAACACTTAAAAGGGGTAAAATGATAAATTTTATGTTACATTTATCTTAACCACCATTTTAGAAAATTTGTATTTTATCAGGTGGGAGTGGGTGGAAGATACCTGACATTTTGGAAATTTTTCCAATTAATATACTAATCACTCGCTCATTCACTCATTCAACAATCATGTATTGAATACATGCTGTGTGCTGGGCCCTGAGCTGTATACTGGAGCTACAGTATTTAATAAAGTTTATAAAACACTGAATCTGTCAATGTCATGCCTGCTAATCGTGCTCTCTCCCTCCAAAAGCACTAAGCTTCTCTAGTTTAATATTCAGAGCTGCTTCCTACTGACTTGAATTATGCACACAAATTGGTAAACCAACTGAAGAGGTCTGATGGTCATGGGAGTCGGAAGGAGCCGGACAGCATGATGCTGAAATGGAAAGATACGGGCAACGGATCATGAACTAGACTTGAAGAAGGCGAGTCAAGGCTCTCTAGGGATATTAAAAAATAAAGGACTCGTCTTTGAGGCTGCCAACATAAAAGCTAAGCACTTTAGAATGGAAAAAAAAATGACAAAGTCGGACACTCTCAACCCCAGAAGCTGGTATCTTGTGAATTTTATGGCAAGTGTAGTTTGAGACCACGGACACAAAGCTGTGGACAGTATTAATGAGTGAGGAGGGCAGGGGAGGGTTATCAGATTTGAGCTAAAAGGGAAGACAGGGCCAGTGAAAGGCAGGGCCGGTGAAGGTCGGTGTGGTCTGCTTATTTGGGGGGCGGGGGGCTGGAAGCAGGAAGCGTGAGCTTCCTTCACCAGGCCACTCTGGAAGCTCTATCTTGAATCTACTGGATCTTATCCTAGGGTTTTCTTTTTTAATTTTATAGAAACTTTTACTCCATCCGTCCTTTCAACTCTTTCTACTTCTCTCACCCTCTTTTCACCCCCAAACACCCTGAATACCCTATTCATTCCTTTAACTATCTGCTGAGTGCCAACTACATACCAGGCACCGTGCTGGGCTCTGGATAGATACCCTCAGTTCTCTTATGCCATCTTTATTTGGTTGCACAGAGTAAAATCTTGGATTGATATAATTCTGTTCCTATATTGGTTAGACGAGGGATGAACTTAGTCTCATCTACTACTTTTCTTAACTTTTTCTCCCAGTCTTCAAGGTGTCTTGATCGAGGCTGTTCCTTTTACTTGTATTTTTAATCCCAACTTTTCTGCTTTCTCCCTCTGTGTACCCTCAGGCATCTCCTCTGTACTGCCCCCCCGCCCCCCTGCCCCCTTCAGGCCACAGGAGGCCTTCTCAGGTCTCTGCTCATCCTAAAATCCATTATTTCTCTTTACATTCTTTAGTGACTACCCCGTCTTTCTCTTCCCATTCTCATCAAAGTTCTCAATGCCATGGCCTTTACTCATGTTCATTCCCTTACATTCCATCCTCCGCTTTCCCAGTCACTGGATTTTCTCCTGTGCCCACAGTACCCAAACTCCTTGCTTTGTCAAATCCAACCTCACCTTATCGGTCCTTGTTCTGTTGGACTTTTCTGCCCCATTTGGCACGATTGATCACTCTCTCCTTCGTAAGTTTTCTATTTCCTTAAAAATTTTTTACCTTTCAATTTCCTCGGTCCCCTCAGAACTTTCTGGCTGCTGATTCTCACTCTTCCTTCTGGGACGTGCTTCCTTCGTGAAACTTGTAAATGCTAATGTAGTCATCTGTGCTCTGCTCTTTTCATTCTGCATGTTCTTGCAGGGGAGTATTGAACATTCACTACTGTCCTTAATGATAGTCAAGTTATAAAAACTGGTATCTAGGGTTACCTGGTAACAATGACATAAAATCCTGATTTGTCTTTCTGCGTATGTTATATGTTGTTCATCAGTTCATTGGCGTTGCAAATGTCCCTGATGTTTGATGCTCTGTCTCTGTTTTGTGAAGACCCTTGGTGTGGCCCAGAATTGGAATGAGCATTGGTCTCTAATGGTGCTGAGTTAATTATGAATCCCTGTAAAAGAATGAATAAGTCTATTGGAAACCAGCTAATTTCATTTTGTCATTTTCTGGATAATATATTCTGGTATAGACAGTCCGTTTTTTAAACAAGTTTGCAATAGACAATTTCCCCTCAAGGTTAATATAATAGGCAAACACCTTTTGCTGTGGCAGACGGCAAGAGGTAATGAAAGATTAGCTTACATTATGATTCATTATTTCAAAATGTCAGAATAAAGTGGGTCTGCTACATCACCCCAGCCTCTTTTACCTTAGAGGAGAGTACATGTTTTGCTTTTCTAATGTTAATGCATTCACTGCTTTTTTTCTTCATGTTTATTTATTTATTATTTATTTATTTTTTTACAGGCCAAATTCAGATCATCGGCGTCAGGGTGGCAGAGAAAGATTGGTCAGCTCCAGTGACAAGGGCAGCCTGGCTATGGAGTCTGCCAAGGAGACGCGCTACTGTGCAGTGTGCAATGACTATGCCTCTGGCTACCACTATGGAGTCTGGTCCTGTGAGGGCTGTAAGGCCTTCTTCAAGAGAAGTATTCAAGGTAATAGCGTGTTGAATACGACATATTCCACTTTTAATCCTCAGATGGGAAGCAGCGGAGGAAGGGAGGCATATGATCAGCCACTTGTACAAAACCTTAAAGCCTCATAGGTCCACTAGTATCTTCGGTAGAAACATGGGGAAGAGGCAGGAGCTCAGGGCAGTTGTGGCAGAGTGCTGATGCTTTGTCCATTTGGCAAGATCCAGACAGTCTTGCCCAGCTCTACAGGCAGAGGGTTTCAACAACCAGATCTCAGAGATGTTGTCTGTGCCTTGACTGGGGGCTGACAGGTGGATATTTATGTGTTGCTGGCAACTAGACTTACATGCTATCCCGGTTGCGTAATATTAATCGGCTATGCATAATTACGGCTCCACCTTGGCTTTGTCCAGATGAGTAGTCTGTTCTGACCTTTGCTCTAGACCAATTCTAATTGAACTTGCTCTTCTCTGGCTCTGCTTCCATCTTTGTTGTCTGAATGGATGACTTGACCTTTTGCTAAAATGAGAAGACCCAGTAACTGGCGACTTGTCATAAGGTCAAGTACCTATCTGTACTGTACCACACAGTTAAGTATCTACCTGTAACATTTCACTGGCCTATCTGCCTTGATCCTTCTCTTGTGTATAGTTTACCAAATATAGCTTCTTTGATATACTGCCAGCTGCATTTTTTCTACTCCAGGAGTGTTTATATTGTTGCATTTAGAGGATACACTGGAGGAGAGAGCAATCACTTTTATTTCAAACAATGTCTGTACTAAAGATCCTTTGTTGATGGGAATGGCAGTCTGACAGCAGTTTAGGCTAACTGAATTACCTTTGTTGTCTTAACAGTGGAGCATTTTTCTCTCTTTACTTTACCAGCATAAGCAAAGTTTAGTATATAAACACTAACTATATTTCCAATGGAATTTTTGTATAATTCTCATGGACTTTGTTCTGTAGCTCTCCACTGCCCTGATATGAGGTAAAAGCTGGGGGTGATGCACACTATTTATCTTTTTCTCCATTACGAGTAGGATGGACTTTTTTTTTTTTTAAAGCTGTTCATATCTAATAGAGTAGTACATGAGGTCAACTTGGTCTTCTTTTAAAAACACTTTTTTGACAATTATTACTTTCAATGTCTTTTAGAAAATACTGTAAGATTTAGACTTTTTTGTTGGGCTTCAATAAAATGAGTGATATTTTCTGATAGTAAATTTTTGTTTTTTTAAATAAACATACATACATCTATAAACACCTGTACATATATTTACACATACACATATACATGTATATTTACATGTGTGTAAACATAAAACATACATATGTGTATAGAACATATTATTTAGCTAATACCATCTTTATTGAGAAAAATTATATTTATATTTTGATTTAATTTAGTATAAGCCAATTAAGGTCTTTTGTCAGTCATGTTTATTTGTAGTTTTATTGTTTATTTAATTTTATATAATCTAAAACACCATTATTTAGTCCACACATTTACTATGGCAGTGAGAACTCATTTGACAGTGGTAGGGTTAGTGGATAGGGTCAACTACAAAATTGGACAAGCCACTTATCTGAGACTGAATTACCTCATCAGTAAAAATGATTTAGAGCATCAGTCAGCCAAGTTTTTCTGTAAAGGATCAGACGGTAACTGTCTCAGGCTTTGCAGCCTCTGGTGCAGCTACTCAGCTCTGGCATTGTGACCTGCAGGGAGCCATAGACACTATGTAAACAAACGGTGTGTGACAATAAAACTTTATATACAAAACAAGTAACTGATCAGAACTGGCCTGTGGGCCATACATTGCTGACCTGTGACTTAATGTTTAGAAAGAGAATAGTTGGTTTCTAAATTTAATGTTGATTATTCATGTTTATTGAACACTTACTCTGCATCTGTGTTAGATGTTCTGAATGAAATCAAATATGTGTCAGACATGGTCTGTAATCCCACAAAATTGAGATTTTGCTTGGGAAATTTACTGGGGAGGCAATTTTCATGATGTAATTAGAGGGTAACTCAGTATAGATAAAGTACTACTATATCATAAAAATAAGAAAAACTATAGATGATTATAAGAAAATATTGTCAGTTACATATGTAAAATTACTGAGATTAAAAGTAGAAGTGACCTTCCTCCAAGTAACAAAAGCAATATTCTCATGAGTTATTTTTATCATATTTTTAAGCATTTAGGAATAAACTAAACTTCATAATGAATTTAATATTATCTCCAAGAGTTAAGGCATCAAAACAGAAAACACAGAAAAAAACATAAAAAAATCAATGAAGGAAATATGAGCTTATGAAATCAACTATTTTATTGGTATGACATTAACTCAAATTTAAATATTTAAAAAGATTCTGCTTACTCTTTGATAGGGAAATAATATATTTCACCTGCATTGTGTATATATAGACTAAATAGTAGGATTTCACTATACTATAAACTGTGCTATATAAAATTGTACTACAAAAGTCCCATAAAATTGAATTTCTACTTATTTATCATGGTATGAAGTCGCTTGTATAAGGTTTTTAAAATGAGATATATATTGAGTACACAGTTCTGGAAGAAGCCTAGAAACAAGGCAGTCTTTAACTTGTAGACATAGGGAGTGACCTTAAAGATGATTACATTCACTCATTCATTTATTTGTCCATCAATTGTTTCTATTAGGCAAAGCACCTTGCAGGACCTTGGAGATACAACTATAGGAAAGACATGGACCTTACCAGCATAGAGCCTTCACAGTAGTGGGAGAGATGGATAAAATAGTGGCAATTAAATTACAATGTGAAAGGTGCCAGGATTAGGGTGGGTGCAGGGTCTTACAGGAGTCCAAACTTCACTCGGCCTGGAAGAGGTGAAGTCAGGCCCTGTGAAGTTTTCCTGATTTAAACTTGGGCCTCGAGAATGGGTCAAGTGAGGAAAATAAAGGAGGAGATGAGTATTTAATCACAAGAGTAAGCATATGAGCAAAGTCCAGGAGGTAAAATAGAGTTTGGGGAATTCTTTGGATAAAAATTAACAAAAAATACCCCTGGCCAGGTAGCTTAGTTAGTTAGAGTGTCATCTCATACACCAAAAAGTTGTGGGTTCCATCCCCAGTCAGGGCATGTACCTAGGTTGTGGGGTTGAGCTGCATACTTTAGGCAACTGATCAATTTTTTTTTTCATGTTGATGTTTCTCCTTCTCTCTCCCTTCTTCTCTCTTTAAAATCAATAAAAAATAAATATTGCTCAGGCAAGGATTAAAAAAATTAACTAAAAAATTACCATTAGATTTAAACAAAGATATTTCTGGGCCAGGCATTTGTTCTAAGTCTACGTAAAAACAAAGTTATTTTTATTTATTTATTTATTTATTTTTAAATTTATTTATTTTTAGGGAGGGAAGGGGAGAGAGAGAGAGAGAGAGAGAGAGAGAGAGAGAGAGAGAGACATCAATGTGCGGTTGCTGGGGGTTCTGGCCTGCAACCCAGGAATGTATCCTGGCTGGGAATCGAACCTGGGACACTTTGGTTCCCAGCCCGCGCTCAATCCACTGAGCTACGCCAGCCAGGGCAAAACAAAGTTATTTACTTGCTTTTTATTTTAATGATGTTTTCCTGTGTTTAATTCATTTGCACATACACAAGGGAAAATGCCACAGCAAGTTTAATGGTTTTTGATCCCATTTTCTCACCATATTCTTGAAAACTTTCAGCTAAAACATTTTACTGAACTTCTTTGGCTGTTTATAAATTACACTGCCCCTCAAACCCATTTAAGGACAGTGAAGGATCTAGCATGCAGGTAGAAAGTTCTGAAGATGCTGTGACTCTCCCTGTTTTCGTTGTTACTTAAGAAAAGAGCTAGAAATGAGTATCCATTAGATTACTCTAGTGCTCTAAGTGTTTCAGTTGAAGAGGTAAAGTGTTTGACTTGAAAGCACATAAATTTTCATCCATTACTTGATGTACAAACTTGATTACTCAAGAAATTGAGTAATAACCTTCAGTTGAACATACTTTTTTTTAAAGAAAGCAATGTCAAAGCTGCTACTTAAGGGAGAGGGTTAAAATTAAATAGTCTATGAATTTATTAATCGTTGTAGGTGGAGAAGCTGTGTTTCTTAAGAGGTGTTGTGGGTAGAAACTCTTGGATGAGTTATATAAGCAGATTTGGTCCAGTGGACAGGAACAGCCTTTGAGTATTATTCCAAGGTAAAGGACTCCACTGAGCCCACTGATTCTCTCATATATTATTCCAAGTGGTCATGAGGTACAGGGGATTCTCAAGCCCATATATATATAGCAAGGGGAGTATGTTCCCTTTGCTATGTTGCCACTTCATATTCTCTAAGGCATATAAAGCAGATGCTTAACATTAGATCAAATAGACATGGCTCGGACAAGGTGCTGGCTTAAAGGTTGGCTAAGTCCAGGAGCACATGGTTTCAGGGTGGAGTCTAGTTATAGTTCAATGTAGTGGGGGCCTTAAGTCCAACAAAGATTAGGATGACAGCCTGATCCACTGGGCCTCAGAAAGCATCAGGGCGACACAGTCCAGCACCCTGGATAGCTCCTTCAACAGCTGCAGAGGGTGAGCAGAGACTTATTTTCTGAAGAAATTTAGGCCCATTCAGCTGTCTCCATTTGCTTTGTAGAGCTCTATTAAAAGAGAATTTAGCTCTTTTATGCTTAGGGGCTCACCTTTGTTCACTCATGATGGATTATTTCTATCCTCACCAGAAGATATGTGTATTGATTTTGAGAGAGAGGAGGAGGAAGAAAGGGAGAGGGAGAAGAAGGAGAGGGAGGAGAAGAGAGAGAGGGAAAGGGAGGGAGGGAGAGAGAGAGGGAGAGAGAAACATTGATTGATTGCCTTTTGCATGTGTCCTGCCTGGGAATCAAACATGCAACCTAGGTATGTGCTCTGACCAGGAATCTAATGCACAACCTTTTGGTGTGGGGAAATGCTCCAAGAGACTGAGCCACCTGGCCAGGGCCATGATGGA